GAATCACAGAGCAGTTCAGTCACAGTACGGTTCTAAATATAAGCAAGCTATTTTGTGAAGAATAAAATTTGTAGACATTTAAAATACAAAAAGAACAGAGCGTTTTTTTTTTCTTTGGGGGGGGGTGGTATATGGGACAAACAAATGTTCATCTGTTAGTTAATGTTTCATTAGAAGAACTGAAACAGTGGCTCACACAGAACAACTCAGCCTGTGTGCACCTCACTCCCATAACAGCGCTGTCGAGGAGAGGAGTTTGGTCACGTAAGCAAAGTTGGACATATCTGTTAGATAACGACGCTCTGAACACAAACTTATATTATAGTGTGTTCGATTTTAGATACCAACGTCTCAGGTAGCTCGGGAGAGAAGTGTGGAGGACRGGGTTTGTTCACTCAGGACAGGAGCTGCAGGCTGACCGGTGTTTATCCTGCAGACTTTCTGCACATCAGAAAGACCCGCCCTGCACTGCTCTGTCTGGATAAAGCTGTGGGGTTCGTTTGATTTGTTGAAAGCAGCGTCCGTTTGAACCAGTATCAGACTGGGCTGCTTTAACGAGACTGCAACAGAAAACAAGCAGGTTTCTCTTTTCCACATTTTTTAAATAMCAAAAATACCRACATGGATAAAATGACATCTGTTATTGACATAAATGTCAGTATCGGTTATTTTTCGCTTTATTGCCCAGGCCTACTTGGCTCATTTTGTTTTATCTTTATTTAACCAGGCAAATCCTATTGAGAACCCTTGTGCAAGGGAGGCCTGGGCCTGAAGGCAAATGATCACACATGTTTTTGTTCTGTAGAGGAGACTCACACAAGCATGAGGACAACATGCACAATCCGCACACAAAGACCCCAGGTCCAAACCAGGGATGAACTCAGGACCTTCTTGCAGTGAGGCATCAGCTCTAACCACTGAACCACCGTGCTGCCAGCACTTGCTCTGCCTTGACTCCGTCAAATCATTAAAACACATCACAAGTGAACACATATTGCACTGGAAGCAGTCTGTCTCCATGCAGAAGTTCTTTCTGATTAAAGAAGACTTCTAGAGGATGGAGACTTCAATAAACCCGTAAAATAAATCACTTGTGTCTGTATCTGATTGGAGGGAGTCATACAAACTGAACCTGCTACAAACAACAAGATCTTTCTATTAGCAGCAAGAAACATTTCAGTGTTTTATACTGACCAACACCCAAAACAGGCAGGCAGAYATAGAAACTGTTACACTTAAACAAAAAAGTATTTACTGACCCTTTTCACCTCGTCAGCGCTTCCCAAACAGCCCAAGGCTTCAGAGCGATGCCCAAAAAACTGTCCCAAAGACAACCGCAGGTAACTTTCATCTCCCTGCCTAAAATCTGAGGACACCTGGGACGTCCTCATCAGGATGTGGCTGTTGGTGGGAATCTTCCAGGACGAATCACCAGGAAAGGTGTCGTTTCCGCTCGCTGGTTCAATTTGCTCTTCCTGTGTGGACAGAGACACTCAGAAACCTGAAGGAGGACGGGCTTCACACTGATTGGTTGAGAATCCCTAAAGCTGATTTACACAACAAGATTCTAGAAAACAGTGTAGAAACGTAGCTCAGCCAACTGAAAGAAAAAAAAATCAGATCAGTTCTGAGATATACCTGCATAAACTGGTGCTCTTTTTCAAACTCCTCTTGGTCCTTTATTATTTTCTCCATRGCATCACCTGTGAAGCAGGATAAAGTAATAAAAACAGAGGTAAACCAATCATAAACTCTCAGGTTTGACAGAGTTGTGAAGTTGTACGTACTGGCAGGTACAAAGTCCTCATTCTGAAGCTGATCATCACACTCTACTGTTTTTCCATCCATCTCTTTCTGAAAGCTGGAGTAATACGCCAGATCTGTCACCCACTGTCCCTCTTCATTCTGGTAAACTATGCTGTGAGTAGCATTGGCTCCTGAGCAAGAGTCACCAGGGAGTATTACATTTAAAACTTCATAAATAAATACACATAATCAATACATGAAACATCTTAGAGTTGATGCAAAAATGAAACAAAAACCCAACCCTGCTGAAACTCCAGATTGTCCGGACAATGATCCCACCCTTCGTCTGAATCTTCCTGCTCTTCCTGGAAGCTCTGGGAGAAATACTTGGGTTCCAGGGAGGTGGAGAGGGGATTGTCATCCTCACTCGAAACACCTGAAGCCACATCACAGCAGGGCCCTGCCTTCAAACCCAACGAGGGTCTGGCCCCATCAAGCTCATCCACTCCCTCGTCCTCCTCCTCCTCCTCTTCACCGCAGTTAGGAAGCAGCACCTAAAGCATAGTTTATATGTAGACTGCATGCAGACTCTAAAATAACATGCAATGTGGAAGCTGTAACGTAACACTCACCTGGGAGAGGTGGAAGCTCCCCTGAGTGCCTTGAAGGTGAGAAACAGTCAGGTTTGTTGAATCCTGAGGTCTTCTCCAGAACATAGAGTCCAGCATWTGATCAGCAGCAGGCCCACAGTTGGTGCTTTCCATGGCATCCTTGGATTCAAAATTAAACCAAAAGGAAGAGATGTGATTTTAAAAGGGCAAAATGACTATTAGGAAATCATCACATTGATGAGGATGTTCAGGAACATGGAAACCTTAATGTATCCACCCTGACTTATTCATACAATATCGTATTTTGCATACTTATTTGTTATTTAATTGGTATTACTCTGTAAAAACTTGATTTCACTTCAACACTGAAGGTGTTTTTGAAAGTGATTTTGGTAAAGACAGATTTTTTTTTAAAAAATATGACTGCAATGCAAGCATAGAACATCCAAGGCGAATGAATACTTTTTATAGGCTCCCTACTTCTGTAGAAAATAGTTTGAGTTTCTCGTATTCTTCTCATGCATCCTTTGACTTTTATAKTTAAGCATCTTAAAGCTTCTGAATGAAAGATGTGGTACTGCTAGTACAACTGGTGCTTAGTTAAGCTAAAAAATGCTTGTAGGGAATTACTTGCCTGTTTAAGGTTCTTTTTGTCTGGTCCATGATTTTGGTCCTCAGTTAGCCGTTGGTTCGACTCTTATTTTTAATTTTTTATTACTAACCGACATGACAGGCTGGCAATAATGCAATTGCCTGTGCATGTTTGTCTGTTGTCAGCTAAKTGACCTTTGCAAAACCAAGACTGCAACCCAGTCAGTTTTTTTTTAAAGATACTGAGATCAAATTTGGGTTGGTAGTATCTGAGAGTCATCCCTATCATGCACTCTGAGTGTAAACAAAATGCGCATAATTTTCATTTAAAACTTAGGCGTRTAAGTATCAGCATTGGATTGATATTTCTAGTTTTTATTCTGAAAATAAATTAGGTAATAAGTTGTTTTCTAGGAAAGAAAAAAATTGTTTAAAAGAAAGTTTGCCATTTGACAACACAATAAAAAGGGAAGGGGGCGCCTGTTTTAAAGACCCATGACCCACTACCCACTGATGATTACGCGCACTCACCAAGGCCACTTGTCGGTCCAACACTGTGCTCCRGTTGACAGAATGTCTCTGAAATCCTGCAGATGTCGCCACAGTGGAGCTGGTCTCACCAGTTCCCACAGGACCCACACGGTCACCCATCTGTCAAACACACAGACATCGTCCACAATCATACAGGGACAGATGCAGAACGTACTGAACATCCACATCAGTTCATCCTTGAATTTTATTCATTTTTCTTGTACAGCAATTCTTTAACTCAGCAACCAATGTCATAAACTTCTCCAGGTCGATTTGTTTCCTCCAAACAGTACTCTAGCAGCTTTGGTCACTACATACCCATACGTTTTGGATATGCAAAGAAGCCCACTTCGTTTGCACCAGCTGGTACAACAATGAGTCAGTCCAGCAGCAAGGCTTTAATATCAGAGACAATCACAATATCTGAGACGTGTAAAATAATTACACATCAAATGATTATCAAAAGACTGATTTAAAGTTTAACTGCATTACTGCGGTTAAACATGAAGGTGTTGTTTATGAGGGACTATAAAAATCAATGAATTATGATTATTAAATTAAACAAATTTGTGTGAATAATAGACTGATGTGTTTTAGAATAAACACCCATTCCCTGCTGGCACCGCTCTCTGAATTAAACTTTATAAGCAAACTGGAGAACAAAGTAAAAAAAAGGAGCTACTTGTGAGATGAAAAGGTCTGAAGATAAGTCAATATGCCACACCCTTTAGGAGAAAATTAAATCTTTACTAAAATTTAAACAAGATTAATTTTCAAGTAGACATAAAATTCTTTATTTTGAGTCATTCTTGTGTTTTTAACCTCTAACCAYGACAGAGTCGTCAGCTTCTTGTCTGGATTAAAACAACATCCTGACACCTAATCCATGGAGGGATGTATAAAAGATCAAAGCACTGGCTAGTAATAACTATGTCAAAAAAAAAACTTTATTGAAAAAACTATGTTCAATGTTTACATGTAAACAAGTATGATGAATGGAGGGAGGTGGGGTCTGCTTTTCTGTTGGTGCAAGAAGGGAGGCTGTGTGAGAAAATGGTTAGGAACCACTTTAAATCACTGCTAATGATAAGAAGATGAGTGGATTTAAAACCTACTATTACTAATTAAAGCTGGGCTGGCCAATCCCAGATTTCAAAATACAACAGATGTAAATTCTACTCAAATTGACAAATTTGTTGTTTTCCTGAAAAACACAAGCAGACCAGTTTATGTTTTCTTTTTTGTGTCCTTGTTTCGGTACGCTTGCATTGCTGTGAGCCTGACTGAGCRACTGGTTCCTCCTCATTTTACTGTAGGAGGAAGAAGAATCTTTACACAGCTGYCAGCAAAGACAAACATGTTAAAGTTAAATACCTATTTATGAACTGATTTGTGCATATGGTAGTAGGGGTGTAAGAAAATATCAATACACTGAAATATTACGATATTTCATTTCCTGATACAGTATCGATTTTTTATTAAGGTTTAAAATGTCAACTTTCCTGCCAGCTGTTCATTTTTATGTTGTAGTTCAGCCTCTGACCACTAGTTTGCAGCAATGAGCCACCCATTTGGCTCCTCTACCTCTTGAGTGCCAGAGAGTAAGGGTGACATTAGCATTGTGAGTAAACATTAGCTTCGTGCTTCGATAGCTGAATCTGAGCAGAAAAGACCGACACCCTCTGCCTTCTAAGCTGAGGTAAGGTTACAAACAGTTACTTATTTGTCAGAATGTCTGTATTTTAAGCCAAATTAAGTGTATTGTGCGCTCTTTTTTCCAACGTTACGGAAGGCAGTTAGGCAGGCAGGCATGCAGATATAGCGCATGCGTCTATCACCTCGAGCGAGCTCGGCACTCCCCCCGTGACATAAAACTCTGTCTGTTGCTCTCAATGTCCGGCTGATGATCGCATCAAAGTCCATTTACTTTATCCTGTTGTGTTCGCTTCAAAAACAGTTTAACTGTGTTGTTTAGCTTCTCCGTTTATTTACTGTTTATTTTCGGGACCTGCCCTGCTGTTCGACCCACAATTATGCAAATTATGTTCTGGATGCAGGTCAGCTGATCCCAGAAACTCTGTGTGCAGCAGCTTCATATCATCTGTTTACTGAACTTTATGAAAACATAAAGACTATTAAGTGTTGGGTGACCATATTGTAAATTAATATTAAAAACTAAAAGCTGCAAAAATATTATTTTCAAACTTTTTATTGGCAAATTTAGTCAATTGAAAACATGGATGGAATAAGAAATATGAAACAAATAAAATAAAATAGAAAGCAGAACACAACTAAATGTATCAAACGTATGTCTATGTAATATTACATTTTTCTGAGACAATTATTTTTGGTTTTTCTTTTTTTCCCCAGTAAGAGTTTTTTTTAAATAGAATTTTTGGACAAAAAAAATCGTAATATGTCGCAATATATCGCCTTACAGTATCAAAATACAGTATATCGGGATATATCGTATTGTGACCCCTCTGTCACGATATGCATCGTATCGCCAAATTCTTGCCAATACACAGCCCTATATGGTAGGTGCATGTGTGCAAAATGATAACAGTGGAATACAAAAAAGTAACCATTAAAMCAAAAGAATCACAAAGGCCAGCAYCTCTCCACAAATGGATAAAATACACAAAGTCTTAAACTTTATAGTCATCGTTTTCATTKTGGAGTAAAGATTGATTTGCTACACACATGCTCACTACAGATTGTACCTCTATGTGTCTGGGAAGACCATTCCTTCCATGTTCTAGCAGGTTTCTCAGCTCAGAGTTCTCGTCTTCACTGATGACACTGCTCCCAACTATCCCCAGACCACGCAGGGCGTCGTAGGTGGTCTGGACGTTGTTGGATGTAAGAGGTATGGTTGAAACTCCACCATCATTTCCACTTGCCTCACTGCCACTGCTCCCGTCTCCACCTCCTCCATCTCCTGGTGCTTACAAACACATAACAAACTGGTGGTCAAAAGCAAGGGTAGTGGGGGGGCTTGTGTTCACACAAAGCAGTACAATCTCTAGTAATCTGCGTTGAGGTTTCTCTCAGCATTAASTGCCACACATAACGAACTTAAAAAGGCCGGAAAAATGTGTCAGTAAAAGCTACCAGTGGGAGGAGAGCTGATGACTTGTCCTTCAGCAGATCTCCTTTGTTCAATRCCAGGCAGCAGAGACAGACCAGCATGACCAGTGGACACCTCCTCATCTGAACTGCCCCCTTCTAAACCTGGCCTGAAACTCGAATGGTTACTTTCTCCAACCTGTGCCCACACACACACACACACACACACACACACACACACAC